TGGTGTCTTCCCAAGTGAGGGTCTTGATAGTATATATATATATATATATATATATATATATATATATAATATTTTGCTTAATCCTTTTCTATTTGGGCCTGAAAAAATATTTCTTGCATTTCTTTCTTTATTGTGTTTTGTTAAAATAAAAACTAAAATAAAAATACTATAATGGGTAAAATTTTCTCCCCGCTGAGCTTTCTGTAGGGGAGCACATTTTCTTTCTAATATTGCGGTAGTCGACACCATCCTGCACATATATTATAGCAAATAAATAGTCTTTATTATTTTTTGCACGAAACTACCCCAAAATCGTTAATAAAAAACACTGTTCAGTAAGCAACAGAAAGATAGAATGATTTTTAACCGCTTCAAAAGAATTACCTGTGCATAGTGAGAACCCCTCCCCCATATGGAAGCCCGGTGGAGTAATAGATTGCGGTTTGGATTTAAGAATCATCGATCTGAGTCCGAATACCAGTCGTGCTAATACCATTGGAAAACGTGTGAATTCATCTCTTCTCCACCCCAGCAAAGGGTAAAATAGCAGGACCGACTGGGTTCTATAGAAGGGAAACTTTGAATTCAAACTTGAGAGGGTTAGGCTACGTCAGGCTATCTTTCTCAAGGCATGCAACTGCTGTATATATGGCGCCCCTACGGCTCGAATGAGATACGGCTCTCGTGAGTGCAAACCTCTATTTTTTGCGTAAAAAAAACTGATCGTAAATACTCGCACTATAGTCGTGTATCTTACTTATTATAAAACACAGATTGTCTGTGTGTGTGTGTGTGTGTGTCTGTACGTTTATATATTGGATTGGATTTCCTACATTTTTCAGCCGATTTCAACAAAACTTCACAGGACTGCGTAAAATTACCTTGCGGTGGTTCTGACGGTGCCAAAAATTGGAAAAACACAATTGTTTTTGCACAAAATCAATTTGAAAACACGATAAAACACAACTCTGTCGCCAGAATGAAAAGGGGACAACTCATATCGAATTGTACTTATTATAAAACCCAGGTTGTGTGTGTGTGTGTTCCTTTATATATGGGATCGGATTTCCTACATTTTTCAACCGATTTCAACAAAACTTCACTTTTTTTTTTGGCAGGTAGTGTTTCTTATTGTCTTGCACACTTTTTTCTTTATTTTTACATTGAAAATGCTTTCAAAATTCCATTTACAAGACAATTGTTCATAATAAAATTCTATTCAATCGGTAGACTCATAATGATTGAAAACAATGTTTTTGTTTGAGTTTGGGTTTGACCAATTCGTAAAAAAAACCCAAAAATAAATTAAAAAAAAAAAATAATTAAGACATGTGTGTCCGTCAACCTTAAACAATAATCTTTGTCAATTTTATTTTTCAGTCTTTATGATGGTCGATACTTGATCTATCTCTTACTGTTACATCCCCGGGAAACGCCGGGTTCTACTGCTAGTATGTGATATATATGAATATACAATGAAACAAGTGTGTGTATGTATGTATACGTGTATGCAATGCATGAGAGAGATATTGACTAACGTTAAAAAGTCTCTTCAGTTATGCTTTTCCATTGCCAACCCCCACCCACATTCGTCATCTCTATTGAAATTCCTTGAGGAAGGAATTGAACAAGCATCTGCTACTTCCAGTCATTCGTATTTCATCTTTTCTTCGCATCGACTTTAGAAACACGTCGATAGTTTGTGCATGAAGCCCGGTGCCTTGCTCTTCAAAATGACACGAATGATTTATGGCTATATAACAACATCCCTCACAACAACCATGATAATTTGGGACACTGAACTACGAGATAGCCAAACGCTGGAGCTTCTGAAACGCTGACATAATACCTTAAACCTCCGGGTCGCAGGTTCGTTGCTTTACTTCTTCTAAGCCTTTTACGCAAAGACCATATAATAATCTTGGTCTTATGAATAAAACAGAAACCAAGGAGTAGTCTTGCTCCATAACGGAAGGGAAGTGGGATATTGTCATTAACTTTAATATGATCTTCTCCAATTCCGGGCCCGTACTCTACGACAGCGCCCACTACCTCCCCCCCCAGGCCGACCGTACGAATTATCGTCATTCTTCCTTTGCCTCGCAAGCCACGTTTATTCGATTAGACCTGGTCTCGTTTGGTTTTGCTGTTTATAATGAAGAGGACATGGCAATTCTAAAATTACGTTCTTTAAGTGTTGTAGGATAAAGTGTGTGAGAGAGAGAGTGGGGGAAGAAGAGAGAGACAGGGAGGAAGAGATAGGTGGGTACAGAGAGAGGGGGAAGAAGAGGTGGGTAGATAGAAGAGAGAGGGAGAGGGAGAGGGAGAAAAATGAAAGAAAAAGCGTGGGAAAAACCGAGAACGAAACTAAATGTAAAAAGACGAAAAAAATGCAACAAGAGGAGGGAAAGTGACGTGTGTGTATGTACGTTGTGTATATATATATGTGAATGTGTGTGTGTCTGCGTATATTGTGTGTGTATATTTTATATATATATATATATATATATATGTGTGTGTGTGTGTGTATATTGTGTGTGTATATTTTATATATATGTGTGTGTGTGTATATATATATATTTATATATGTGCGTGTATGCGTATATTGTGTGCGTGTATATATGTGTGTGCGTATATATGTAGTATATGTGTGTATGTGTATTGTGTGTATGTTGGGTACAGGGTGCGATGTGTAAATTGTCACCATTTTATATTTTTAATGTATAAGTGATGGTATAAAATAAATATATACTATATTTTTGAAGATTGTAGTTATCAGGGAAGCAAGAAAGCGGAGTGGAGGTCCACAAGTAAGAAGTGCGAGAAAAGAAACTGTTGGAGTAGAAGTGGCGGTATAAAATAAATATATATATATTATATTTGGTCGTTGTGATTAGTGATATAGTACCCTTTTAAAAGGGCTAATGGATTAGCTGAAAGTGATCGGGATAATAATCACGACGGACAATTTCTACATTCCTATTCTCTGCCTTTGGAAACCCGTCCTTAATATAGGCACCCCTAATGGTCTTGTTTAGGGGCGAGAAGCATGAGATTGCGAGTTTCTGGACTCGGACGGCTGTATCAATACCAGTTCCAGACAGGAATAGGACGCCAGGTTTTCAGTTTTACCTCTGGAAATTTGGAACGTAGACCCGTCACATTGGTGTAGAAAATGGTGAACCTGGGGCCTACTTTAAGTTGTGTTCATGATTAGAAATTAATGTGCTTGGCAGACGACTATATATATTTGATAAACATATTGAAACAGTATCTATTTATATCTCCGAGATGAGCTATTATGATTACTTTCATTATTTACATTATTCGAACTGTTATTCTCATCTTCATTAGCATATTCATACCGTTTCGGCCGTTGTACGCTTCGGTCTTCTTCAGGGGATTGGATCTCTGAGACGAGCTATTATGATTACTTTCATTATTTACATTATTCGAACTGTTATTCTCATCTTCATTAGCATATTCACACCGTTTCGTCCGTTGTACGCTTCGGTCTTCTTCAGGGGATTGGATCTCTGAGACGAGCTATTATGATTACTTTCATTATTTACATTATTCGAACAGTTATTCTCATCTTCATTAGCATATTCACACCGTTTCGGCCGTTGTACGCTTCGGTCTTCTTCAGGGGATTGGATCTCTGAGACGAGCTATTATGATTACTTTCATTATTTACATTATTCGAACTGTTATTCTCATCTTCATTAGCATATTCATACCGTTTCGGCCGTTGTACGCTTCGGTCTTCTTCAGGGGATTGGATCTCTGAGACGAGCTATTATGATTACTTTCATTATTTACATTATTCGAACTGTTATTCTCATCTTCATTAGCATATTCACAACGTTGTACGCTTCGATCTTCTTCTACCCCGGTGGACGAAATAAAGGGTTCGGTTTGAAATTCCAATCACATGAAGAAGGCCGGAGAGTACAACGGTCGAAACGTTGTGAAGATGAGGATAACAGTCGGAATAATGTAAATAATGCAAGTAATATTTAAATAGAACGGACAGGGCATGTTTGGTAGGTCTTATAGTGAGTTGCTTCTAGTTTCGGATAAGTCATATGTAAGCTTGTAAACTTAAGTACCTTTCATCCGATGTCTCTGTAGGTCCCCTGTCAAGGGTGTCAGTTGGCGTAAGAACTTCTTTTCGTAGCTATTACTGTTTGGGTTGCAGTCACGGGAGAATGGTTTGTCTGTGTTCTCACGGCACCAATTTTCTGGAGCATGCCAGTGACAAATTTCGTCGAGAATAATCGGCAATAGGATAGAGTTCAGGGCGACGCAGCTTCATGCCTTTCGTAAGGGAATTAGTGCGAAGTTAGCACGAGCAGTCTCATCCAAATTCTGAAACGCGATCATAGGGGGTGCTGAAAAACTTGTAAACGAACAAAAACAAAAAAAAAAATAATTCCAATACTTGATCAGTTGCTTTGATTTCATGAAGTGTCTCACGTTGAATCACTTGTGAAAGGCATGAATCCTCTTCTCCCTGAACATTGTTTATTTCATCTACCGGCACGCGCATATGAGAAAACGTTATAAAGATGTGCCCTCCGAAAGAATTCGAACTTGACCCCAACCCCTTTGCAGGACAAACTATCGTCCGTTACGCAGAGCTTCACACTCAAACATGGTTCTAATTTGAGTTAATGTACATTCAGTCGTTCAGATTATCTTGAAAGCCATATCTGGTCAGAAACAGAATCTGGACATGTTTTTATTATTTCAAACCCTCGGTGTTCACAGTAACAGCATTTCCATTATGGTCTACAAAAATAGTAAGGACCAATGACGCCAGAATTTCCCAACAGTGCACCAAACTGTTACTTTTGGGGCTGTGCAGTGGTCTTTCATGCAATTCTCTCGGATTTTCAAGAGCCTAATAACGACAATTCTGTTGATTCACCTTTTCATTGAGATGAAAATGAGCTTCACCTATTCCGAGGCATTATACATTACACCACTCGCACATCTACAGCACCTTGTAGTCCTAGGCGGTCAATCATCTAGGTATTGATAAGGCCCGATGTTGCTTAACTTCGGTGATCGTACGAAAACCGGTGTTCCAGCGTGATAGTGCTGTAATTTTGATATACAGATATATTTAATTATCGGGTCATTAAAACACGAGATTTTTTTTTCTTCAAAGAGTGGTGTTTCAGTGCTGATTGTGTACCCACAACCAACATTAGGTGTATAAGATACGGAGTAAGTACCATTTTTTAGGGTGGGGGCTGATGAGGGAAGTGAACCTCATACAGAGAAATATTTACCTGGTAGATGTATGATTTACTTTTAAAGCGTTAATCTGCTGTTTTATTGAAACCATACCGTGAAAACAAAGAAATAACAAAGAAAATAAGAGTGTAAGAAGAATGTTGCAGAAAAAAAAGAGAGGGGAAAAAATAAAAGCTGTGTGTTTGGAGGTGGGGGAACGCTTAGCAAATTTACAAAATAAAAAGGCGAACCCCTTAAATGCTCGAGCAAAGAGAAAAAAGTCAAGAAAAGAGAACAAAAAAATACAAAAACAAAAACAAAAAAAAACATAAAATCTTAAGGAAATAAAAGAAAGGAAGAAAAAAAGTCTAAAATGGAGTTTGACATGTAAAGAACGAAAATATAGAAACTTAAAAAATACTTTTAGCCGTTATCAAGGATGAATTTTATTTTAACACAGCCCATACATCCAAGTAAAAAGCAAAAATAAATTCATCCTTTATAAAAAGCTTAGTACTCTGTCTGTTGTCTTTAATTAAATATGTATAAATGAAGGACTGCTGCCTAAATGCACTATATATATATATATATATATATATATATATATATAAGAACAGTAAGATATATAATCCGGTGTTCTTATTGATATTTTTTATTTATTTTTATTTTTACAAAATAGTGCTCAATGTAAATTTACAGAGCATAAATATTATAAATTAACTGGTTTAAAATATGGTTTTTTCGCTACACAGTAATAACCATGTTTCAAAATATTTTCATTTTTGAAACATGGTTATTACTGTGTAGCGAAAAAACATATGTTAAACCAGTTGATTTATAATATATATGTGTGTGTGTGTGTGTCTATTTAGGCAGCAGTCCTTCATTTATACATACACACACACACACACACACACACACATATATATATATATATATATATATATAGAGAGAGAGAGAGAGAGAGAGACATAGGGGAAAGAACATTTTAAATAAAAGGGAAATAAAAGAAATTTCAAATGGAAAGAAAGACGTTTTAAACAAAGAACGTCTGAAAAGAAAAAAAATAAAGGGAAGGAAAACTCGTTTTAAAGTAGGAAATATTACACCTTGACTTACTTAACTAAAGCCAAAAAATAAGTGTTTAAATTCGTGTTCTTAAAGATAAGAAAGAACACATGAAAGAAAGGAAAGATCGTTTTAAAGAAGGAAATAAGAGCTGAAAAGATAAGGCAAAAACGTCTTAAACATATAAGGAAGGAAAGATCGTTTTAAAGAAGGAAATAAAAGCTGAAAAGATAAGGCAAAAACGTCTTAAACATATAAGGAAGGAAAGATCGTTTTAAAGAAGGAAATAAGAGCTGAAAAGATAAGGCAAAAACTTCTTAAACATATAATAAGGAAGGAAAGATCGTTTTAAAGAAGGAAATAAAAGCTGAAAAGATAAGGCAAAAACGTCTTAAACATATAAGGAAGGAAAGATCATTTTAAAGAAGGAAATAAAAGCTGAAAAGATAAGGCAAAAACGTCTTAAACATATAATAAGGAAGGAAAGATCGTTTTAAAGAAGGAAATAAAAGCTGAAAAGATAAGGCAAAAACGTCTTAAACATATTATAAGGAAGGAAAGATCGTTTTAAAGAAGGAAATAAAAGCTGAAAAGATAAGGCAAAAACGTCTTAAACATATTATAAGGAAGGAAAGATCGTTTTAAAGAAGGAAATAAAAGCTGAAAAGGTAAGGCAAAAACGTCTTAAACATATAAGGAAGGAAAGATCGTTTTAAAGAAGGTTTTAAACAGGAAGCAAAAAACGTGTTAAAGAACGTCTTATATGAAAGTTAGAAAAGAACGTCTGTTGACAAGAAATAAGTCTTGAAGAACAAAAACAAGAGAATCTTGAAGAAAAGGTCAGCAGCGATCGTTAAAGAAAGAAAAATATCGAAGAAAGAACAGGTCATTTGAGTCAGAAGAAATAGTGTTAAAAAGCCATATAAATTGAGAAGGTAGAGAAAATTCTTTTTGTGCGTGTGTGTGTGTGTGTGTGTGTGTGTGTGTGTGTGTGTGTGTGTGTGTGTGTGTGTGTGTGTGTGTGTGTGTGTGTGTAAGTTCTGCACAAACAGTGAACAGTAAGTAGAAGAAAAGAAGGAAGAAAATGTCTTAAGGAAGGAAAGAAAGAAAAGAAAGATGGCCGGTAAGAACAAGCACTAGGAGAAATGAAACGAAAACAGAAATCTCAGTAAACAGGAAGACTGGCACCAAATGACCTCCGTTTTACGAAGCAAAACAACCCAAGGTAGAAATTATCGAGGTCAGAGGTCATAGGTGCAAATCCCGCCAATGGATCGTCTCAATTTATTTTTCTTCCTTTTCTATTTCGTTCGTCCTTTCGTCCTTCCTTTAGTTTCAACAAACAGCTTAAGTAATCACTTGGCCTTCTACTTTACGTTATTGTTGTTGAAATTTTCTTCTTTTTCTTTTCAAGTACATTCTCCGCCTCTGCGATCTTAAATTTGTTTGTCTTCCTTTCCGTTTTTCTCCGGCCTTTCAATACTCACCAAGGATGATTGCTTTTGTTCAGTTTTTGCGTTCCTCGATGTAATACGGTGGATCTTAGTGGAATTTTTTTTTTATATATATATAATTTCACTCCTAGAAAACTATAATGACAGGAGAGCGAGGGAAGAAAGATTTATTCTCCTATTTGTATTTCCCCCATTTTGGGCATTATTATATCCGTGATATGATAACACAGAAGTTCAAGGACGGAATGGAACGGAATGGCTGAAAGGAAAAAGAATGACAAACATCCTTTGTTTTCAGAGAGACTTTTATTCTACTAAGACATACACAAAACTTATATGTGTGTGTGTGTGTGTGTGTGTCCCACACAGGGAACAATACATCATATATATCTACATAGCAAAGCAAAGTATAAGAAGGAACAAAAAGGAAACGTTTTGTATATAAATTGGAGATACTCCTGACCTGGATAAGCCAACTTTAGGACTCTAGAATTAAACGGGCCGGATTCATCTGTGTCCCAAAGGGAAACGGCACCATGTGCATGTAAGCTGCTGAGGAAAGCAGATTTAGCCGCAGCCTGGGCTCGTTTGGTTGCTGTCCACTAAATGTAAAATGGCTGCCACTTTGATCACTGTATGGAATGACGTCACAAAGCGGTCGATATGTGAACCGCCTGACTTATCTCCATCAAAGGAAATGTCTGAACTAGCTTGACCAAATAAAAACATTCACTATTATTTGCAATGACTTGGTGCTTCCTATCAGGCAGCTCTTCGAAATGTTTTCAGTAAAATTCCGCAGGTTGTGATGTGAAAAGAGTTTTCGACTAGCTCTTGTATTTGGTTTTCACCAAAGAAAGTTGTAATACACACACACATACACGATATCTATCTATCTATCTATCTATCTCTCTCTCTCTCTCTCTCTCTCTATATATATATATATATATATATATATATATATAGAACGTTCGCTTTCTGATCATGAGACGAGGGTTCGATTCGCACCATCGATGATTTGCCAAGAAGGAGACTTCCTGATGTCGGTCTGGAGGGGATGATCACAGCATGCGGCACCTTTGGGAAGTCCCTGAAAACCGTACCACAGGTTGACCCAAGTCTTGTGAGTGAAATTAGGTAGACGGTACCTCTATATCTGTAACTAAGGTCTACCCATCGTAGTTGCCGTATAAGGTGGGCTCTGTGGGTGTTGAACAAAAATAAATTCACCTGAGCGAGCGTCTGCAATAGGGATTGACTAGCCACCATAGTTGACAGGTATCCTTGAATACGTGTAGCCAACTATTCTGTCTGTCTGTCTGTCTGTCTGTCTGTCTGTCTCTCTCTCTCTCTCTATATATATATATATATATATATATATATATATATGCAGCATTTTCTTCATTCAAGCAGGTTTGGTTAAATAATTTAGACGTATTGTATCTATTCATATTAATTTTAATCCTTTCAAGTTCACGAATTAATTTCTTGGTGGTTGTAGAAAATTGATCAAGAAAAATTCCAGAATTTTCTTTCAAATAATTTTTATTTTCCTAAGTACTTTCAATCTTATCAGGGACCATCTACAGAGTTTTAAATTATTAACTTAAATTAAAGACTGTAGAAGGAACCGGAAACCCAATCCTAAACAGGAAACAAGGGATAAACCTCTACTCCTGTTCAGTAGACAAGGGGGGAGTGTGAACATGCTAATAGATGAACTTATTTGCGTCTGTTTGTTTTTGTTTGTTTTGTTTTACGGTATATCAACCTCAATGGGTTATTTAATGCCGTCAAAAATTTCATTGTTGGTAATATTTTTTCCTTCAAAAATCTTATTTCTCGTAAGAATTTTCCTTCGCTGGTAATTTTTTTTTTAAAAAAATGTATTGCTGGTAATATTTGTTTTTCAAAAATGTACTGTTGTTATAAATTTTTTTACAAAGTATTTCTGATATTAAAACCTATTTTTAGACTTTCATAGTTAACTATTTGCCCATAGCTGGGACCCTAACAGGTGCTACAACCTCGGGTCAGGGTGGACCTGGGAACATCAGTAATTATGATGTGGTTCCACGCCCCTCAAAACCTCCTGATTAGAGGCCTTGCTGTTGGACTTAGTTTATAGTGTTACCCAGGACGTGGATGTAGTTTACAGTCATACCCAGGACGCAAACGTAGTTTATAGTGATACCCAGGACGCGGACGTAGTTTATAGTGATACCCAGGACGCGGACGTAGTTTACAGTCATACCCAGGACGACGGACATACCCAGGATGTGGGAGTTTATAGTCATACCCAGGACGCAGACGTAGTTTACAGTTATACCCAGGACGCGGATGTAGTTTACAGTCATACCCAGGACGCAAACGTAGTTTATAGTCATACCCAGGATGCAAACGTAGTTTATAGTCATACCCAGGACGCGGACGTAGTTTATAGTCATACCCAGGACGCGGACGTTGTTTATAGTCATACCCAGGACGCAAACGTAGTTTATAGTCATACCCAGGACGCGGACGTAGTTTATAGTCATACCCAGGATGTGGATGTAGTTTATAGTCTTACCCAGGACGCCATCTGCTTCTGTTATTACTCTGCTAAAATATAATGAAACTTTCGGAGTTTATTGATTATCGAAGGAAATTGCAATTTTAATGAACAATGATCGTCACAACGAAATATCGATTACCGTCATTTCGAAATATCACGATACGAGAATCTGTAAATCGGGGACTATGTGAATGGATAATCGTTGATGTTTGTGAGAGCAATAAAGATCGCTTATCTACCTTCTAACCGGGATCGATATGTGTACAAATTGGCAGTCACCCATACAATAGGTTTATTCCCCAACCGTTTGTTATCAGTCTTTGTAAATATCTCAACGGCAGCGCGCGAACTGACTTTTTGTGAATTAGCCAACAGCAATATTCACTTACTTTCAGTTCATTCTCTACTGGCTTTCTTCTTTTTGTACTTGTTTTACGTTTCTTTGATGGCCACACATGCTAAAGTATAGAGAGAGAGGGAGAGAGAGAAAGAGAGAGGGGGTATTCAGATGTATAGATATCAGTTTCACACTTTTGCGATCATCAGACAAACAGCGAAAGCGTGAAACCCAGGGTTACAAATTCATATCCATGCAACTGAATATGTTAGCTTTATCACTATATATCTTGAGCACTTTCCAATAAGTACCACGTATATATATATATATATATATATATATATATATATATATATATATATATGAAGAAATATAGTCTTAAGATGTGCTATATTTACGGGATAGAGTGCTCAATATCAAAGATAGAGCGTGTGTAAATATAAAAGTGGACATGAAGTCAACATTTAGAGGTAACAGTCTGTTTCAGATGAAACAGACTGTCGCCCTCTAAGTGTTGACTTTCAGATGAAACAGACTGTCGCCTCTAAGTGTTGACTTCTATGTCCACTTTTCCACCAATATTGTTGATATATAAAATGTATATCTCGTTATCTCATATATATATATATATATATATATATATATATATATATATATATATATATATATATATATATGAGGACAGGCGTTTTTCAGAATAAACACTTACGTCAATCACCTTTGCTGACGTAGTAATAATGTAGCATAGGACAACACATTTCTTACATATGTCAACACAATTAGGACTAAAAACACACAAGGAGGACATAAATACATGTAATGAAATGAAATGAAAATAATACATAAAATGAAATTGTTTCAAGCTGCTTGTATATTTATTGACAGTGATGTCATTGACTCTCGGCAGATGAGATGGTGAGACGTAAGATCTTGTCTCTCTTACTGTACTCGGAAGCAGCAGCAAATTTGTTTTTGTTTTTTTTATCGGGAATTCACCAACTTATAGTTTAATAAGAAAATGTCCTTATCTCTTACAGGGAAACTCAATATGTATACACATATGTGCATATATTTAAGTTACAATATGAGGACTTAAGCCAAGCAACCGGCAAATGTTAACAACTGTTTCTCCCATTTCTGAGCGTTTAACGATGTCTAATTTCACTTCCCTGATGATGGCTTTCCTTTTCTTCGAAGCACCGCCATCAGATGACGTTACACTACACTTTGGAGCCATAATGAAAAGCAATAAAATTTCAAAAACACAACACAAACGAAAGAGAGTGAATGCACAACAATCCAATATGGCGGACAACGCCGACTTATGTAGGAGGCAAACGGCACAAAGATTAATGATGACTGCTTCGTAATCACGAATCGTCGTAGGTCGTAACCGTCGTAACCCGAGGACTTGCTGCATATGCATACGCATGTAATGGGTGTGTTTTTTTTTTATGTACAGGTTGTCCCTAAAGTATGGACACATAGGCAAAAATATATATTTGAATTGAAATATTAACAAATAACATCTTCAATAGGATTTCCATCATTTGTGATGCAAAGGGTTGATGCGCTTTGTAAGATTCCCGTGAACTCGATGCAATAACTCCACATTGCCGTCAATTTTAGCACATTAACTTTTTATGCGTTCAATCAAGTGTGTTACATCTGTAATTTTCTTTGTGTAAACCTTTAGCATAACCCCAGAAAAAGAAGTTAATTCTTTCTTCTTTCGACAAAACCATGTTTAATCTGTGGGGATAAAAAAGAATATATAGTTAATGAGATTTCCTGTGTCCAGACTTTAAGGACACCTTGTCCAGCCATTATTTCGTTGTCTGTGTTGATTAGGATAGTTAATCTTGTATTCAAAAAAATAAAAAATAAAATAAAAAATAAAAATACAGTGATCTTTTTAGAGCAATATAGAGTGATGGTTGAAATAGTAAAATTCATCTCATATTGAACTTTGTAGGCTGGGATATTTGATAGCTTGTGTCAAGGTCAGTTTCTTCATTTTTCTCTTAAAGTCGACCGTATTTTCATGAATATATAATAAGCTTTTTTTTTTCATTATATATCGTCGTATTTATTTTATACACTGGAAGAATATGTCTCTTTTTTTTTTACTTTTCTTCCTTATGTTGCTTTTAGAATCACATTAATCTTCCTTCAAGGCTTTCTTTCAACTCTTTCTTTCTGGATCTTTGTTAAATGTTTAGATATTCAGAGCTCACAAGAATATCTGAATTTCTTCATCCATCTCTAACCAATCAAAAAGAAAAAAAATATCTTATCCAATCAGCCAACGGCCAAAGTAAATGTTTTCTGGAGCCTACCCAGGAAGAATAAATATTCAAATTCACACCTAAACCACCAGGGGTTTGTTTATCTTTGCATAAGACGACATAGTATATATTTTATCTATATTCCGAGAATACTGTCTTCTTCCTAATTGGTAAGAGGTAACGAACTTCAAGCTATAGAGCTGTATTTCAAATTGCGCTCTGTTTCATACAAGATCAGTTTTCCTTACTGCTGCTTTAATTTACACCCCGAATCTTACTGAAACATTAGATATTTTTTTTTTAAATTTAAACATATTGATTTCGAATTTAGCATAATTTATTTGGTTGGATCTTTGCTGTCGAAATATTCTTATATTTAATAATAGTATTATAATAATAATACAACTGAAAGGCACCTATCAAAATACGTACAAATGACTAGAATTTACCGTATTTTAAGGCTAGTAGAATTGAGCGTTTGTTTTGTGACATATATCTGGCAATAATTCAGTAGATTTATCGGACCATCTGAGCCTGATGAGCGATATTACGCAAAAATCTGGAGACTGTCAATTAGATAAGTCAATTGAATGTAAACAACCACACACGCATGTTTGTGTTTATTACTATAAATATTAAATCTAGTGAGTACATTTGTTTGAGGGTTTCCCGTCGACAGGCCCATTTTCTTATAAGACAATCGATCTCTATGCTGATTGAAATTAATTTCGCTGTTAAAACTGAAATAAAACAACTGTCTACTCAGATGTGTGTGAAAACTAAACAATGTCAATCGTAATAATAAAGTCAGATTTTTAAAAAATCATTGATTCAATGAATTGTTAATTATATAATACAATTGAGAGGAAAAAAAACGACAGGATTCGAACCTGTATCCTATACGGAACCGTCATTTAGCTTGACGTGCCTTTACCGATTTGGCCAGAGAGGAACGTTCGGTTAGCAAATTCGACCTTGTTGGAGAATATTTTCTGTGAAAATTTCTCGGACATTCAGGCCGGTAAATGTCGTTTAATACTGTTTATTATAAACAGAGCATTTACTTAAATATTTGTATCTATAAAAGAATGTATAAACATAAAAAATGTCATTAATATATATATATATATATATATATATATATATATATATATATATATATATATATTGAAAAATTGTTATAAAATCTTTTAATGAAAATGGTTGTATATTTATCATATGGTGGATTTATCATAAATGTTTTTATGAAATCATTTTACATTACATGGTTAGTTCTCTCTCTTCTCTCTCTCTCTCTCTCTCTCTCTCTCTGTTTGTCTGTGTGTGCTAAAACAATAACTTACATAATAAAATGTTTTATCGTGTATACATTTTTACATCATTTGGCTAATGACAGGTTTTTTTTTCTTTTTATGAAAACAATGGGTTTCTTGATAAAATGTTCCATCGTGTATAAACCATAATTCTGTAATGCACCTTTTAAGTCAGGCCATTTAGGAAATGGTGAATGACATTTTGAAATATCATGAAAAGGGAGCATGGGAAATGAAGTAGGGAATTACCGTTTTGCAAAATATTGGCACCACTGTTAAGCTGTAAATGTCAACTATAGTCACAAATCAATTGGTGCAATAATTTAACAGCGCCGATATCCAGAGAACTTTAAGCGATTACTTGGTCACTTATTTTAAAGCATTCTTTTACTTTTTTATCATTTCACGCCAAGCGAGACAATAAAGCCACTAAGACGCAAGAGTGTTAGAGAATATGACAAAAAACTGCTATAAAGGAGAGAGGACAATAAAAGAGCAGGGAATAAGAAGACGGAAGATAACGATTTACATTGCACTATTTACATTATTCGGACTATTGGCCTCATCTTTGTCGCCATATTTATTACAACGTTTCGGCCTTTCAGTATCTGTCTATATTTCTGAGAAGAGGTATTATGTACACTATTTACATTATTCGGACTATTGTCCTCATCTTTGTCGCCATATTTATTACAGCGTTTTGGCCTTTCAGTATCTGTCTATATTTCTGAGAGGAGGTATTATGTACACTATTTACATTATTCGGACTATTGTCCTCATCTTTGTCGCCATATTTATTACAGCGTTTTGGCCTTTCAGTATCTGTCTATATTTCTGAGAAGAGGTATTATGTACACTATTTACATTATTCGGACTATTGTCCTCATCTTTGTCGCCATATTTATTACAACGTTTTGGCCTTTCAGTATCTGTCTATATTTCTGAGAAGAGGTATTATGTACACTATTTACATTATTTGGACTATTGTCCTCATCTTTGTCGCCATATTTATTACAAAGTTTCGGTCGTTGTACACTCCGACCTTCTTCAGGTGGTTGGAATGTCGAACTGAACCCTTTATTTCTCTCACTGGAGTAGACTGTTCTAGTTCCACGTTCCATGACAGGACCCAAAGAATGAGTTCAATACCTGGTTAAGGCGGTGGAGAACTTGGAGAGGTGAATTAACAGGAGATAACTGATAACTGACATCCATTAGATATGGCACGTGGAACTAGAACAGTCTATCCCAGCGAGCGAAATAAAGGGCTCAGTTCAACATTCCAATCACCTGAAGAAGGTCGTAGCATACAACGGCCGAAATGTTGTAATAAATATGGCGACAAAGATGAGGACAATAGTCCGAATAATGTAAATAGTGTACATTATACCTCATCTCAGGAATATAGACAGATACTGAAAGGCCGAAGCGTTGTAATAAATATGGCGACAAAGATGAGGACAATAGTCCGAATAATGTAAATAGTGTACATAATACCTCATCTCAGGAATATAGACAGATACTGAAAGGCCGAAACGCTGTAATAAATATGGCGACAAAGATGAGGACAATAGTCCGAATAATGTAAATAGTGTACATAATACCTCATCTCAGAAATATAGACAGATACTGAAAGGCCGAAGCGTTGTAATAAATATGGCGACAAAGATGAGGACAATAGTCCGAATAATGTAAATAGTGTACATTATACCTCATCTCAGGAATATAGATAGATACTGAAAGGCCGAAGCGTTGTAATAAATATGGCGACAAAGATGAGGACAATAGTCTGAATAATGTAAATAGTGTACATAATACCTCATCTCAGGAATATAGACAGATTTACATTGCATTTAGATTTTTGAAGATCAAAATTGATAGGATGCATGAAGCCGAAGAGAGTTCCACAAGCGAGAAGTGCGACAGAAGAAACTGTTAGTATAGAACTTACGGTTGCATCTAGTCAATTTAACTGTAAAATGACGAGATTTTGCAGTAAATCTAGTATTGCGCTTAAATTCATGAAGTATTAAATTCCATAGAAGAAAGTAATATTTATTCTGAAGAAAGAAAAATCTGGCATAAGTCCAAAAGTGGGATTGGGGAAAAGATTGTCTTCAATCAGTGTTATCTTATTCTCAGCTAGCCACGATTATTGACCCAAACATAGCATAATACACCCACACAACATATTCTTACTTACCATTCTTGCTACAATCACCATAATGCCTCAAGTCTGCAAGAAATCCTAAGTATTTATATACAATTTGCCCCGTGGGGAGGGGTTCTTAAAAAAAATTAAACACCAATAGAGAAAAATTTATCAGAACAATTACCACGAATGTATTTATAGAAAAGCCACAAGGAAGCTACATTACGCCGGTGGGAAAGTAAATGAAGCCGAGATGCCAGTTCAAGACCAATAACATTGCTGATTCTTTCGATTTGAATCTCTAAATATATAACAGGAGCACCGGCCCAGATGTGGCAGCAATACTCAAAGGGAGAATGGTACTAGCAATTATTGCTACGTGACGCAAGCAAACGTTAGTGCGTTATTTAAACAAATCAGCTTTTTATAGTCATCTGTCACTTATACTATTGTAAACCAAGACTGGCTTCTTTTTTTTCTTTCTTTTTTTTTTTATATAAGTAATTACGTAATCTTTCTCATGTATGTTTTCTATTAATTCACCCCAAATAATGTAAAGTTGCTTATCGCAAATATTAATTAACCCCAAGAATTATAAATTTTAAATCAAAGTTTGTTTCTTTTTACTCTTTTGAAATTATAGATTTTAAAACAAAATTTGTTTAGCTTGCATCGCAACTATACCAATCCTCAGAATGAAAAATTACTAAAAATCAGAGTGTTATTTACATTTATTAAGTAATATTGGATGTACTTAAAGGAATTTTTGTGATTTAAAAAAAATAAATCTGTTTTTGGTATGGTTATCGCGGTGAGTGCGAACGCAGACCCCACACTTAGAAATAGCGCACCAGAGTCGTCCACATTTGGAGCGATCGAAAAGATCAACCCAACCGAAATGCAATGGAAGGGCTTCGATGTGGGAGAATTTGGTTTGAATTTTAGTAAATATATAAATACTTTTTATTTTTGAGTGAATTAATATTTGGGGGGAGAATTGACAGATATCCATTCTAATTTACGCAGTTAATCGAAGTGCTGCGTAATTTGTGGCGTAATTTAATGTTCTACTCTTTTATTATTATTATTATTATTATTATTATTATTATTATTATAAATGGAAAGTTAAATTTTGGAGTTGGATGAACCCTCTGTGAAAAATCCAATGATGTAACCAAAACTTGTCAGTGTTTATTAACAACATAACAGTAAATATTGTGTATATAAACTTGTAAAGAAGACATAATGAAAAGTACACCGTTCAAATATCCTGGCGTTAAGTCAATAAAAAGCACTTTACACTCGGGAAAAATGCGATAATTCTTTTTGTATCGAAATCATGTGTGAATAATGTTTTTCATGCATAAAATGTTTACACGTAGGCGTGTGAGTATAAGAACTTCGAACACTGGTAAATATTAGAATTATGAAACATCTATTTGGCATATCCCTCGAAGAGTGAATGTAAAAAATATTAACTTTTACTGACATATGAAAGTTGAGTTGCTTTGAATTTCTTTTGAATTTTTTTAAAGTTTTGAATTATATTTTAATTTTATTTTTATTTAATTAACAATAATATAATACGCTAGGCAAAAACCTACAAAAAGAGTTTTTTGTATTGAAATTAATATTTTAGGTCATTCACCCACTTTGTTAATAATGCAAAGAATTTATTGTTTCTAATAAACGGGATTTTTTTTTTATTACAAATGAATTCAACCATTTAATATCTGATTCTATTAATAATTTTATTTAGAATTGCTTTAAAAATAGTTTAATTTCTTCCTCTTTCTGTTTTTTTTTTCTTTTGTTTCCTACCTCTCTCTTTTCTCTTTTAATTCCTCTATTCTTTTCTCTTCCTTTTTATTCTCTCTCTCTCTTTCTTTACCCCATCTTTTTTCTATTCTCCTTTCTTTCTCTCTTTGAACTTTCTCTATTCCTTTCCTCTTTTTTCTTCTCTTTCCTATCTTTTTCTTCTCTTTCCTCACGTATCTTTTTCTTTCTTTCTTTCTCTCTTTTTTTTTCTGTACCTTTCTTCTCTCTCTTTTTCTCCGCCTTTGCTGTTTTTCTCTTCTCTATCTCTCGTTCTCTTCCTCCTCTTTTTCTGTTTCTATACTTCTCCCTCTTTTTCTCATTCTTTTTCTATTTTCTCCCTCTTTTCCTCCATTTTTGTTTTCTCACTCTCTCTCTTTTTTCCTTTAACGTTTTTTTTCTACCTCTTCTTTTTCCTCTTTTCTCTCTTTCCACTTCCCCTCTTTTTCTCTTCTCTCTATTTCCTCTTTCCTCTCTTTTATCTTTCCTCTTCTCTCTCTCTTTCTCTTTACTCTTCTTTTCTTTGTCTTCCTTCTCATTTTCCTCGTTTTCTGCTGGTTTTATTTTACTTGAACAAACCGCAAACGACTTTCATTCTTCCTATTCTTTTACAATCTTTTTCAAAATATTTTCATTTTCCTTTTATTCTTGTTTTTTTTCTTTCACCATTTTTTTTTCTATTTTCTTCCCTTTCATTACTATTTCCTTCTTTAATTCCATCTTTATTTCTTTATTAATACCAAGAACGTCTGGAACATTCCCACCTCCAAAATTGTCTCACCAACACAAATGCTTCTCTTTATATCCTATTACTCCAACACTCATCTCACACAAACTCTCTCTCATTCTTTTACTTTCCTCTCCTTACAACAATGCCTCCCTTTTTACCCCTCTCTAAGCTCACTTACTTTAACTTCTCCTCTTCCGAGCTCTGTTTACAATAACTTAGTTATAGCTGTGTAGTTTTCTTTAAGGCAAATAATATAGGTCATGGGAACTTCCTTTTTTTTTCTTTTTTTTCTTCCTCCTTACCCAGCTCCGACCCACCCCAACCACCAACGCCACACCCTACCCGACTCTATCCCGCACCACCCGTTCTTTGCCCTCTCTGGCTTAGGGAATCAATAAGAAAGAGAAGTAATAGTTAAGTAGCGGGACACTTTTTTTTTTCTCTCTTTTTTTTTTCTTTTTCTTGTTTTTTTTTACAATTCAACTTGTTCCCAAACTCTCTTTCTATCTATCTCTCTCTCGTTTTCACACACACACACACACACACACACACACACACACACACACACACACACACACACACACTTTCTCTAGATATATCTTCCTCTTTTTAAAAGAACCGTAATATGCGTATTAAAAAATTTCTTCATTACGCACACACACACACACACACACACACACACACGAGAGGACATAAAAACACTTTCTGCCCGGAAAGTATCCAGCCGCTTTGAATGCCTCGAGGATCACTTGCGAATGCCTTGATAAATCTTGTCATCTACTCAGAGCGGACCTTATTGCGCATGTGTGAATGATTTCTCTCTCTCTCTCTCTCTCTCTCTCCCTCCCTCTCTCTATCTCTCCCTCTCTCTCTCTCCCGGGATTACTCAGTCAGCAAGCAGGGAAATGGCGCTGGGTGAGCTTGTTTATTATTCTATGACCGACTCCTTCGTCAAGACAATTCGTATTTGCAAAAGCTAAAATCAAGTTTGCAAAGAGATTTTAGTCTATGGACGAGATTAAGGAGATCGCGACGCAGTTGCTGATGGTGATCTCGAAAGACTGCTTCGAAACGTGAAAGGAACGATGGACTGCGTGTGAGGCACAAGAAATATAGGGGAAAAAAACGAAAAGAAAAACGTTTTCTTCTGTTTCCTCTTTTCTCAATTTTCCTTCTTCACATTTCGCTCCCCCCCCTACACTTTTTTTTATAGAAAAGTACTTAAGTGCCATTGCCCTAGGTAGGCTACTACACAGTATTTTCCGGACAGACCATCTATACATATATATTATATGCATGTTAAAAAACATTAAAAACGACAGACAAGGTACTACGGTTAAGCTTTTTATTTAATTTTTCTTGGGTTCTAACAAGAGCTTTGTTTTCTGGACAAAGTGTGCGTAAGAACTGTCCAAATGTTTTATATTTCCGAGCGCTTTCGGCTATACCTTTAGCCATTATCAAGGATGATTCGATTTTTCAGCTTAATTGAGTGTGTGTGTTCTGTGCATGTCTTAGTGTGTGGTAGGTATGTTTTTAATTTCCGAATACGGTTAGCACATTGTGACTTTGTTCGTAGTTTATATATATATATATATATATATATATATATATATATATATATATATATATATATATATATATATATATATATATATATATATATATATATATATATATATATATATATATATATATATATATATATATATATATATATATATACCAAATCGGTAAAGGCACGTCACGCTAAATGACGGTTCCGTATAGGATACAGGTTCGAATCCTGTCGGAGGACGAATATTTTCTGTGAAAATTTCTCGGACATTCAGGCCGGTAAAGGTTGTTTAATACTGTTTATTATAAACAGAGTATTTACTTAAATATTTGTATCTAGAAAAAAATCTACAAACATAAAAATGTCTTATATATATATTATAATAATGGACTCTCCCGTTAATTTCGACGTATGAGGATCTGACAGCTTAATTGATTCAGTTAGGAAATTTTGTGAGATAATCTTAAGTGGCATTTAAGACCCGCTAGTTATTTACAAAGGAGGCCATATATGAGTGAGGATTGTGAGATGCGAGCACTGTTAGATTGGCAGACCTTTTAGATCTTGCTATCGCTTCTTGAAGATGATTCAGACAAGCAGATTGAAAACTGCTGAGTCCGCTAAAACACGTTGATCTCCATTCTACCCGCTCCAAGGCTAAGCGCTCAAGCATGTTATATGGTATATTGATATCTGATAAGTTGCTTTTCAGCTTGTCTTTGTATCTTAGCCATGGGCGTCCTACATTCCTGTAGCCCTGATCTAACTGGCTGTACATTAGGATCTTGGTAATCCTGTCATCAGACATTCTCAAGACATGACCAGTCCACATTAACTGAGACTGTATGATAAAAGTCTCGATTCCTCCAATACTACATTAGATGTCCTATCTTGAAGATTAACTCCACAGATTGCACACAGACAGCTTTTATGGAAAACATCCAGCTGGCGTATATGGTACCTGTATGGAGTCCACGACTCTGAGCTGTACAAAAGGATGGCAAGTACAACAGCTCTGTAAACCCGAATTTTCGTATCCTGTTGAATACCCCGCTCATTCTACAAGCGATGGCGAAGTTTGCCGAAAACACTGGTAGCCTTATCGATCCGATGCATGATTTCATCATCTAAAAGTTCCATATATATATATATATATATATATATATATATATATATATATATATGCACACATGACTCGAACAGATTGATTAAAGCTTGGGAGTATTTCCCATGTCTTAACGTATCTTCTGTAATCACTCTTGCGGGAAATAAAGAACGACATTTTCTATCATTTTCTGAAATGATTTTCGCTAATTTTAATAGAATGCCTCTAATATACGCATAAACGCATAGCAAGAATACGAATTGTTCCGAAAGTATGGCGATCTTCCTTTAGCAAGCTGCTGTAAACGAAAACCGAAACTAGTAGTATTTCTGTACACACACACACACACACACACACACATATGGACATTTCAAAATTTAATTACCTCCCCTGACGTTTACATCGTTAAATTTAAAACGTATAGTACATAACCTTAGCGTTTCTCACTTCACAGATAAAAATTTTAACTTTCAGATGAACAAAACAATTTTGTCTTAAAAAACAACACCCTGATGATGACACTGTGCTAATGCCGAAAGAACTCGGATTAATGAATATGTAGCAACATGGCAATTTTCACTTTTCGTTTAATAACGATATCCTTTAATAATCCTTTGTATTCTTTAATAACGATACCAAGAAGCTTGTCCGTGCATATGAGAGGATCCTACTAAAAATAAGTAGACAAAACTCATTTCAATGAGACATGTCTTCATATATATATATATATATATATATATATATATATATACATATATATATATAGTATATTTTTATTCAAGCATGTTTAGTTAATTAACTTAGACTTATTATGTCTATTTATTTTAATTTTATTATGTCTATTTATTTTAATTTTAATCATTTTAAGTCCACGGATTAATTTATTGGTAGCTGTAGAAAAATGATCTAGAAAAATTTCAAAATTTTCTTTCACATAATTTTTATTTTTCTAAGTACTTTCAATCTCATCTGAGATCATCTTCAAGGGTTGAATGTGGATATGTTTGCAAGAACACCGCAAAATTCAAAATATTTGCCCGTTATGCAAGGGAGGTAACTTATGTGATTTATTTTGTAAATGGCCCTTTTGTATTCATATAATATTTTATTTAGATTGCTTGAGGTTTTTCCTATGTACATTTTGAGGCAATTATTACAGGCGAATCCCGTTCGTGTGCGTTACATTCACTTACTCGCAAATACCCTTGGGAAAAGGTATGAATCCATCTCTTTCCCCCCGGCTATGGGTTAAATAGCAGCACAGACTGGCTTCTATAGCATTGGTTGGCAACCAGTCTACTGCTGAAAGAAACGCCAACCTATTGCGGGTAAATCTTATTACCTAGTCAGTCATGAATCGAAAGATCCTTAATCGCTCAAGCGTGTCTCACGCATGACACTTAACTGACTGACTGAATCTTAGCAAATTTTCCTTTCTCTCTTTCTTATCTTTCCACAATGACATCCCATTTTTGTGCGAAAAATACTTTATTTCTCTTCATAATACGATCCCTATTTTCCGATGCATGCCGAGTGAGACACGGTTAGTTTCCGCTTTCTTTGTGTCTTGACGACGATCCTAGACAGCAATGTAATCTCTAAACCTAATTTAGGCACAGATTCAGGCGTGGGTAAATTGAATAGTTTACCCTAGAAGAAAAAAAATATGGTATACACAGGCTAATCTTTTTGAGAATTAAATAAACATTACAAATCTTTCTCTCCAAAAAAAATAAAAAAATAAAAAAAATAAAGTAATACATAGAACGGCAACTTACGAAAGGGTTTTTTTTTCAAACTAAAGGTTACTTCAACCATTAAACAAAAATTGGCAATACAGAAGGTCCTCGTGTTACGTCGTACGGCGTTTCGTGGTTACGACGCCATCTACCGTAATATAATACGTCGTCACGAGGCGCTATATAAGGAAGACGACTTTGTTTCTTCACCGGCTGTACGCTATATTAGATTCTGCTACATTCGCTATCTCTCTTTTTGTGTCGTTTTTTTTTTGGGTGGGGAACTTTTTGCCCTTCATTATAGCTACCAAGCGTACGACAGACTCGTGTGTGCTTATGTAGGTGAGTTCCGACCTACGTCGAAAATCGGGTTACGTCGCGCCGTTGAAATGGATTTCCGACGTAAGTCGAGGACCTTCTATATACTTATTTTATGGGCTTAGGGCCATATAAAGTTTGACTATAAACAGTTAAGGTCATAACAAGTTCCCCATTCTATGTTTCCGATTCTAAGTAAAAGATCCTGAGGTAAAAAAAAAAAGTCATTTTCCTAAAAACTTCCTTGTTAATCACATATTCATTCCATGGAATTCTTAGCATCCTTCTGCAAAACCAAGTCACTGTTGCATCAAGTCTCTTCTTCATCTGTGAGGAAGTTGTCCAGCATTCACTGCTGTATAAAAGAATGGAGGAAGCACGGTGGAGTAATGGCTAGCGGCTCAGATTGCGGAATTGGGGAAACCGAAGTCGAGTTCCTTACATGCAT